TTTTTTTTTTACGAAATGTTTTCAACGTTTTAAATGCCAGAGTCAAACCCATTTTTATGTTGTCTCTAATATCACTACTGAATTCTCAAAAGTAACATTATAAGTATATTATAATTATAATTATAATTAAGTATATTGATAAGAAATGTTTGGGATCAAAAAAGAGCATTACAAATCATGTCATAATCAATCAAGTTTCGAGTTTCGTATTTGCTAGAGCAATGAGCTGCGAAGTTTGATTTATTTTGGCACTTAACAGTCGTTCCCTTCCAAATAAAGCAGTTGAAATTGTAGTTTGTTAAAGGCCGTGAGATACCTTATTCACTCGATCATTCAAATACCAGGTCCCGAACAAACTCCGGTTCTCCAGGGTGGAATTGCAAATAAGGCCGTCAAGCTTTTATCCGAGACGTTACAATCTTTAGGTATTATGGAATGATTTACGGCTGTCAAAACAAATGAAGGAAAACTGGTTCTTCATAAACAACGGGGCCAACGGACACTGATTGAACCGCAGGATTCAAGAAAACATAAGGCCAAGTTTGATATGAACCCCGGGGGCATTCATTGGAGAAAGTACGCCGGGTATGCCACGTTAATTTTAATTGCGGTTTTAAAATGAAGGAAACCTCAATTCAAAATAATATTTTCCTAAAATAGAAAAACGCTAAAGAAGTGGCAACAAACTGAAAAAAGAAAAGAATGGTTACGACTGAGAAACATTAAGACAGATTGCAAAGGACTCACTTGAAAAAATTAGGCAATGTTTTAGCTTTCCGTGATGAAGTTCCATTAATCTCTACAACCTGTTTTCCTCCCTGTTTAAGGATATTTTTTGGCGAAAAATTGACAAAGCGTCACTTGAAATGATGATTAAAATTATTCTTTTTTTTTTTACGGAAGGCGCATTTCAGTGCTATATTAAGCGTGAATTTTTAAGTTTGTAATTAAGATAATCCGTTTTGTTCTTCCCTAATCTTAACCATACTTGTTCAGGGGTAAGTGTGGGTCCCCTAGATCGATCACTGTTCTGTTTCAATATCTTACGTCGTTAGGCTATGAAGGTAAATTTTTCCGTTGCAGTAAAAGGTGACTTCAAAAAATATCGAAGCACACAGTAGGTAGAAAGCACTTACGGTTTGGGAACACGTACAAACGGAAACCGAGATCCCCTCTGGCACGTAATTGGATGATGATGAAATGATAAAAACAAATGTGAAATACAGATCGATAGTTGAGGATAGTTGCCTTAGGCAATGGCGAAATTTGAATGATCTCGAACTGAAGGCCGCCTTCCACGAAATAAAATTTAGATCAAAGCTTGTTATGAAACTCACGGAAATGATAAAGATCGGTTGTGGCTTTTGGTCATGGCGGACTCGAGTGATCTCGAACTGTCGGCCATCTTCCACAAAATAAAACTTACATCAAAACTTGTCATGAAACTCACGGAAATGATGTTGCCTTTGGTACGTTATGGTAGAGCTTGAGTGATCTCGAACTGTCGGCCACCTTCTACGATATAAAATTTAGATCAAAACTTGCCATGAAAACTCACGGAATTAATAAGGCTTAGTCGTAACTCATGTCAGCTGGCAAAGCTTTTGTAGAGGACCTTTTTGTCCGGGTTTTACAGGAAGGGCTTTTGAATTGTTGAGATTTTTGCTATTTTATCTCAGTCCTAAATACCGCCAAATTACAACCGCAAATGCCATAACTGAAAAAAATATGTTCAACCTTGACAACTTATATCGTATCATGTCCACTCAATTGTAACCGCAACGGCATGAAAAC